AAATTTTTTTTTTTCTACTTTAGGTGCTCAATTTGTGCCTCTAAATTCTGAACGGAATGGCCACCTGAGGGTTCTTCCCTAAACCCCATTAAAACCTGTAAAAAATACAGGAAATCCGTAAAAGAAAATCCAAAACGGCGGCAAAAATTGAAAGTTAAAGGCTCGGGTTTGATTGAGCATTGTCCATGGACGGTAACTGTAAAGTGCAAACTAAACCGTCCACGACCCCTAGCAACCGACTTAAGACGATTTCAACATTTTTAACAGGTAAATATAACTTTGATTTAGAAAATCCACAGAGTGTTCATACGGGAAAAACCCGATAAAAATGTCAAAGATTTTACAAAAAATGGTCTTCAAAGGAAACCCCCAAAAATTATCACGCACACGCCAATGTTATAAATTGTATGTGTAAAAAATTATTTTCAAATTACATCTTAAGTAAAAAGTGATTGTATTTTCAATGCCATTTCAGCTTCAAATGGTCGTACTTTTTCAATTCAACACTGAATGGTAAGGAAAAAGTTTGATGAATGCCAATACTCCGGAGCGAACTTTACCAAATAACATTATGGGACACACAAGACCTTTTTAATCGTTGAATATGAATGGAAACAGACACAGAACAAAAAGTCCTGGGTTTGTTTACTATCAGCAAACTACCTTTGTTTAATACATAGGTAAATTCCCAAGTTTCGTTTTATATAATCAGTTTGCAATATCAAAAAAAATAAAGATTGGGATAAACCGAGAGTTATAAGGGTCTAAAATTGATTCTAGCAACAAACGTAATAATTTATATTGATTCCTTGACGCCTAAATTTAGATTAAAAAATTTAGGGGATGAAGAATATCTTGGATCCTGACAACCCCGGTACCACTTATATCTGTGTACAATAAAACTTATGAAAAGTGTAGCACAGTCCAGCTTGCGGTTTTTGTATCAATATCATAATTATGATACATATACGTATATTTATCATATAAAGTTTTATTCATCTCAATCCATATCATATCGTATCGTATCATTCATATGATGTCATATCAAATCATAACATAGCTATTTTGGGAAAAGGACCCTAGAATAAATTTTGGGGAAAAATAATTTTAACTTTTGGGAAAACAAAAAAACAAAAAAACAAAGAAAAACAACAATGGCAAAATAGGATTTTTTTTGCAAATTTTTGAGAGGTCCCGTTGCCAAATGGTAACAGGAAAAAATTAAAGATTGAGTATGCTGTTAGCACGACGACAGAAGCCAATGGTCCAGTCCACATTTGTGCCAAGTTCCAAATAAGTTATTGAAGCATTTTTCATAGTTTTCATAGGCAAGTTTGAACTTGTAACGACACGAAGCTTTTTTCAATGAAAACGGGCCTTTTTTCATTTTAACATGCTCAATGCAGTAAAAGGGGGTAATTCAATTTTTTTCTTAAAATTGAAAAGTTTAAATTTTAATGCTGCTTTTTTTTTTAGGAAAATGAGGCTATTTTTTGATTGGGAATGACGTCATTTTCGGTTATTGGGTGAAAATGTTCTGTAAAAATAAATTAAAATAATACAATATTAATGTCATAATCATAATCAAATATTTTTAACTGAAGTCATAATAAATTCAAATTTGTTTGAGAAAATTACATAACATTTTTGTCAAGACATTTAATACAAGATCAATGCCAGAAAATTATTCTGGTGCAAAGAAGATTTTTAAATAAAAGCAGTAAGTATTTTGCTGTTTTATTCAGGGTTGCATGGTTCAGAGGACTTAAACATATCCAAAATAACAATTGGTACAATCGAACATCGGAACGGTGCTATTCTGGCTTGTTCTAACACACCTTTTATCGGGATTGGATAGACAAATGGTATATATATTTTTTTTTTTTTTGGTTTTTCGTTCACATCGACCAGTAAGGTCATATTCGCGACGTTCCAAAGGTTTTTAACTTGTGGAAAGGAAAACCTCAGGTGCTCTTCACTTTTTCCGTACATTATTTCAGGCAACGAACAGGTACCTGAGTAAGAACCACCGACGTTCCGTAAGCTAGCTGGATGCTTCATAAACAGAAGGAATCCAAAGTCCCTGTCCCTGGATTCGAATCCACAGAGGTGAGGGGCAAGTGGTTTTTGAAGTCAGTCCAACGACCTTTACCCACTCGGGCCACGGGACGTTTCCCCAAAATGGCAAATGGTAAAAAAATTTCCATGCAGTGAGTTAACTTGAAAATTAAAGCGATATAATATTGTTTACTCATATGAAATTCAGAATGTATAAGGAAATTCTTTTGAATTTGATATCATCTGATGTTTATCTTATCGTAATCTGTTTGAAAAAAAAGGTTGAATTTAGCTACATATGTACATGTGATGGGCATAATAATTATATTGTTAAAAAAAAACAACAACATAACAATGTACTCGAATCATGATGTAATCAGATTATGGTGAAAGCGTGAAAGAGTCACTAAATTTACTGAAAATAGCACATGACTGTTTTAATATGGAACATTTTTATAATTACTTGATTTGCTGACAACAAAAAAACCCATCGTTGTTATTACTCATAACAAAAACAAATCTTAATATCATGACAGAACGTGAAAGTTGTAAAAGTTTAAAAACTATATACAGCAATATAGCTGGTTCCTGATAAAGTTTTGCCAAATATCTAGTTCATATTAAAAGGACAAGCGAGAAAAACATAAGTTTTTTTCTATTTCAAAATCAGTATTGTAGGTTTAACATTTGACATGCAACCTCCATCCCACTTTCCACTCTCTCTCTCTCTCCTACTTTAAAAATCCCATTTGCTTGGAAACTTGCGTTAGTATACATCATGTTTTGGTTTCTATTTTTAACAATGACATTATCATGGCAATCTACATTGATCTTTGTTTTTTACAGTGTTATTGCATGCAAGTTAAACCTGAGAAAGACATGAGAAAGCTTGGCTGCAATTCTGGGTGTTCTGATACACACAATGCTGCTTGTGGCGGGAACAATTTCACGTCAGTGTACAGAATACTACCTCACAACGGTACTCTAAGGATTACTTTTTGCCGTAGGCTTTAACAAACTTTATTCTGACTCATGTAAATTATTATTTAGAGAACTTCAATCCACTTACCCCTTATCGCTCTTGGATCAAATCACGCAAAGGACTTTGGATTCATTTCGTGTCAGGAAGTTATACAGTTACTTTAAGGAACGTCGATGGTTCTACTCAGGTGCCGCTTCGTGCCTGAAATAATGTACAGAAGTCGTACACTAGTCAAGATGGAAAGTCGTCATATGACCTATTCTGTGTGTGTGTATGTGTGCTTTCAACTAGTAAAATATAGTAAAGTTAAAAAACAAAGTAATCTAAGTCAATTGTTGATTGGCTGTTAAGTCATGTATTGTATCCGGGAAAAGTATCAGGTACCCCTTCATGACTTTCTTACGAGCGGACACCAAATCGCATCCTTTCGACCCTTTTCGTCAAACTTCAGAAAAGAGCCTCGAACACAATAGAAAGAATACGGTATTTCGGTCCTACCTACGCAACACTGTCGGGTACTTGAAACGGTGCAGATTTTCCGTGATACGGTGTTTCAATCCAAGATTGAGGAAGGTAAACAAAAAGGTTCGTGTCATTTTATTTTCTATATATTTAGACAAATCCGTTTTATTTAGTCAAAGAAGAATAGTTGCTTTTAACGTAACAATAAATTCACAATAAGATCAATAAGTTCACAATATATGTTACATATAATATATATATGATTTTTTTACAAAAAAAAAAAATCGAGCGAAGTGGTAAATGTTTGAGAGTGTCTGCGCCGTTGTCAAGACGAAACAGAAAGTAGACAAATTTCGACAAAACAAATTGACAGAACAAATGTTGAAAGTGCACAGATGATTTTATACATTTATTATAATAAGCATGAGTATTCACTTCAATTTATGTGCCTCTTTTACGAAATTGACTACAAAATTTATCACTTCTCCACGTATATTTATTTACAAAAGATTTTAGTAAACATTTCATAAATATCATACGTCATATCATATGTAACATACATTGTGAACTTATTGATCTCATTGTAACATTACATGCAACTATTCTTCTTTTATAATATAAAACGGATTTGTCTAAATGCATAGAAAATAAAATGATACGTACATTCTTGTTGTTTACCTTCCTCCATCTTGGATGGAAGCACCCTATCACGGAAAATCTGCAGTTTCTAGTACCCGACAATGCTCTTAAAAACTTAACATGTAAACTAATAGTAATTTTATGCTAGGAGTTAAATTTATTCCATTATATCGGAAAAAAGTCCAGCAAAAATAAGCAAATTTAAAGGTATAAAAGTAAACAGTATTAGTCTAATGGTTATAGAGACGGAAGTACAAAATTTCTACATGTCGACATGAATTCAGATTAAGAAACAATTGTACATCGATTGATTATGATTGTGATTGTCCGACATATTTTCAATCATAATTTTACCGAAATAGACTATATTTTCCTTTGGATTTCAAATATATATACATTCGCAACACATTACCAAATATTACACCCTCTGTTTTTGTTTACATCTAAAACCACGCAGAAGAACTACAATTCGTATTCATTCCGAGGTTATTATGAATAAAAGCCGAGATGTACCGATTGGTGGACACCTAAGCAGCACCATCGACCTTCCGTAAGCAAACAAGATAGCTTCCTCACATGAAATAATTTAAGTCTCTGGAGGGAGTCGAACCCACTGCGGCAACGTTTTATTTTCGAAATTAAGATTGCCATTCATATACAGGTATACAGCTTTAACTCTGTGTTTATATATTTTTCGGAAGACTCCAGACATATTCCTGAAAAACAAGAGTACAGCAAAAGCTGCCTGATAGTACATATCAACAGCGAAACAAATATTACGAGAGTGTATGAATGGAAATGGTGTTCCGTCAATATATGGGTATTTTGTACGTCTGGTGAGTTATTATTTATATAATAGCTATGATATTTGTCAGGTATGACTTACTGTGTAATTTGAGAACCGCTTCAATTGAGTATTATCTCAACATTTAATAACTTTAATGCATTTTGCAAGGCAATCTGCTGTACGTAAAGGATTACAAAAGGAGGACATGTCATCAGGGGATAATAACAACATTTACATGTATGAAAAACTTAAAATCAACATGCGTTAATGACCACGGCGCATTAATTACTTTATTAATTCATACAGTATTGGTTCTCTAAGCACTGGCCTCAAATCAAATACTTTACTTTGTTTTTAATTTTTTTAATTTGTATTTTCTCAATTTCTTATAATGAAGGTTCATGTACATTGTGTAATAGGGTATATATATGGTTGCATAGTACTGGCAAATGTTTATTAACCTATACTTAAACTATAATTCCAATAAACTATCCTAGATTATATCATTTTTAAATACACCCACATACACATATAGAGCAAATTTTATCATTTTAAATGATACTCCTACAGGGTTCAATATACAGTTGTTGTTATTAAAAAAACATTTTCGTTAAATTCGACTTACATTTGCACAGGTCAAAAGCCAATCATACCTCCTTCCATTCTTCTCCGCCATTATTCAAAACCATAACAAAGCAATTCTTTGCTATGATATGTAATTCCATGTCTGTATTTATTCATTTATATAATTACAAGATCGTATCTTTTGTTGCGTCAGTATTCACTTCGACCCAAAAATCCATTTGATAACGCCTACCTAGTAGAGCTGACCCGCGACAATTTATGGTTATAAAGATGTCCAACAGATTATATGACTGCTTTTGAAACGGTTTATAGCTTTTTTATAACTCGAGCCGTTATATTGCAAACCGAGTGTGTACACATGACCATATAGTTTACCTAACAGACATCTTTATAACGGATTTATAATACAGCATGCTAAATTAATTAAAGGAAAACGAAAATAATTAACTTAACCTTGTATAAAATTTATACAAGTTTGCTTTATTAAAAAGAGCATGCGCCAGGTCTTTTTGCAGCTTAATTGCTCAAATGGCTTAAAATTAAAATTTCTGTTTGGTTGAATTGCATCTGCAAACATTATCGACATATCGGCTATTTCCGTCAATATCCGAGTAAGCTCTTATAAGGAATGTTTCAAAATTAAAGGAGCAGCAAAATTTCGGTACACGATTCAATCGGCCATATAATAGTGTTATGTAATATTGTAGCTATATAGTGTTTACTGTATTTTTTAAAACTAGAAATGTGTCATCATGCCACGGATGCCCCCGCATGCAGCCAAAATTTCAGATGTTATAATATTTAGTTCCAAATTTGTTTGCACAAATTATTTTTTCATTTTAAGTTCAAAGCCCATAAAACTTTTCAATGTTAACACAAACCATTTTCATAGAATATTCAACGCACAGAAATTATTCAGTCTAAACCTTTTGAAAATAGCATATTTCATATTTGTAGCCAAAATAATGGCTACATACATTTCAGTGCTGAAACTGAAAGTTCAAAAATTTTCCAACATTCAAGAAAGATAAGTTTGTCCAAAATCATTGAACCACGACCAAATTGAAACTTAAACTGCTTTTTCCTTGAGTTGTATCTATATTATTTTCAAAGTGAAAGGGACATAACTCTGCCAAAAAATCATCGAACCATGACCAAATTCAAACTTGACCTGCCCATTCCTTTGACATATCCATATGTCAAATTTGAGTTGTTGGGTAGATAATGATAAGAAACTGTAAATTTCATATTATTTTCAAAGTGAAAGGGGCATTACTCTGCCAAAAATCATTGAACCATGACCAAATTCCAACTTGGCCTGGGCATTCCAAAAACATATCCATATGTCAAATTTGAGTTGGATGTGTTGTACCGTTTGGGAGATAATAAACAAAACTGAAAATTTCATATTATTTCCAAAGTGAAAGGGGCATAACTCTGCCAAAAATCATTAAACCATGACCAACTTTGAACTTGACTTGCGCATTCCTGTGACATATCCATATGTCAAGTTTGAGTTGAATGTAATGTACCATTGGGGAGATAATGATCGGAAACTGAAAATTTCATATTATTTTCAAATTGAAAGGGGCATAACTCTGCCAAAAATCATTGAACCATGACCAAATTCGAACTTGAACTGTATTTCCTCACGACATATCCATATGTCAAGTTTGAGTTGAATGTGTTGTACCGTTGGGGAGATAATGAACGGAAACTGAAAATTTCATATTATTTTCAAAGTAAAAGGTGCATAACGCTGCCAAAAATCATCGAACCATGACCAAATTCGAACTTGACCTGTATTTTCTCATGACATATCCATATGTCAAGTTTGAGTTGAATGTATTGTACCATTTGGGAGATAATGAACGGAAACTGAAAATTTCAAATAATTTTAAAGTAAAAAGGGCATAACTCTGCCAAAAATCATCGAACCATGACCAAATTCGAACTTGACCTGTATTTTTTCATGACATATCCATATGTCAAATTTGAGTTGAATGTGTGCAACCGTTACTAAGATAATGAACGGAAACTGATGATGACGGAATGACAGAATGACGGAATGACGGAAGGACGGAACAGGGTAACACTATATGCCCCGGCCATTACATGGCGGGGGCATAAAAAACATGAACAAGTAAACCGCTCTTCAGAAAATAGTTATCAATTTATACAGTTTAAAGGATTAAAAACGGAATGAACCACGTTCGTAGTAGTAAATTTAACAAACATGATACTTTTCGCTTTTTCTTTTATCGATTTGTTCACATCGATGTTAATTTATCGTTTGAGTAGTGTTGTTTTTCTCGCATTAAATGTTTTGTAATTGGTAATGATGATTTTAGGATAAGCAAAAAATGGATGCAGCCAGCAACTGTGGAGAGAATCTGATGACATCTCCAATAACCATCACGATTATCCAATGAAAAGCTACGATACAAACGTTCAGTATTATAAAATGATTTACCCTGTTTACCTGTACTGTAGCAATGCACGGATTTGCAATTGTGGAATGTGTGATATAGTTTGAAAACCTTTCTTGTGTTTGTTAGATTCAGACCAGTCAGTCACAGTACATCAAGAAAAGAACATTTGGAGGGATGCAGCGACACTGTGTTTTCGAACACATGGTTATCCAACTGGATATAAAGACGTTCGGAACGTGACTTACGTGGGCATATACGGCTGGACAGGGGTCGTTCGGAGTGACGTTATTTACAAAGATACTGGTTTCTTTTTTAATGATGTTTTCAAAAGATCTTTCTGTCAAGTAAAATTAATGTCAAGCGAAATTTGCGAACTATATTTTCAAAATCAGACACAGCATTCAGATAAACTCGTCATCGAATGCATCTTTTTAAAAGTTTTTTACTGTTTTTTTTTCTATACAGCATTTTCTATACAATATGACAATGTTTCACTAACAGAGTTAAGAAAAGTCAAAGCAGTTGAAGCTATGAAAAAGTATGTGCTCACGGTTCTGCAGCGTACGACGTTGTCATTGATGAAATATTGCACTGCAACTAATGTACATAATTATGAACTATATTTTGGTAAAGGTTAAAGGAAAAGCTTTTGTTTAACTTCATTTAAGTTAAGGTTCCTGGAAGATAAAGTGTCACAAATAACGTACACGCAATACGTTGTTTTTTGTATTATAAATACGTTTATGCATAAATAACTGATACATAAATACGTTAATATGATAATAACCAATGGCCATGTAACCAGAAATCAATTTTTTTTGGGTCGTGTATGAGGTCTTTTTTACTTTTTACTTGTAATCCTGACTTGGTCTCTTAGGCTTAAAGGCCCATTATGCCCCAGAAATACATTTAATTGTATTTTTCAAACCATTTTTATTTCTATTGTCCTGTTTCAGATTCCAAAAACATGAGTAACCTTTGAATGGCCAATTACTAAACTCTTTTCCGCTTTGTTGCTTTTTGCAATTAGATCTAGTATTTTGTATTTAAGTGAAAATACTACTTTGTTTACAGTTTGCTACTCTTATGATTAATAAATTAACAATCAGCGCTACTTTCCTCAGTTGAAAAGCATCAACATGCTCTAAAACCATGATTATTAAAACATTATAAAACTCATATTTGCACTTTCTAAATAAGGAAAAATTTATTTATTTCTGAGAAATAATGCGCCTTTTAAGGCAAAATTGAAGAGCATGCAATACCATCAAACGTGTGTACATATAATCAATTGTCATTTGATTTAAACAAATATTTTCTTTTGTTTGACACTGCTTGGGTTTATAGTTACTCTTGTCCGTCCGTCCATCCGTTCGTCAGTCCTTCCGTCCGTTCTCTTTTTGTGTCGCACATAGCTCATAAAGTAATTGACCTAAAGTCATGAAACCTTATAGGAATGTTGAGCAGCATGTGAAGTTGTGCACCTAGGTATTTTCATGTGGATATATTTATTGTCCTTGAATAAGTAAAAATACCAATTTTCAACTTGTGTCGCTCGTTACTAAAAAATATTTGACTTAGAGTCATGAAACCTTACAGGAATGTTGCCCAACATGTGTAGTTGTGCATCAGGTTATTTTCTTGTGGATATTTTTAGTATTTAGACTTATTACCCTTGACTTTGTAAAATTTACAATATTCGACTTATGTTGCACGTAACTCAAACAGTATTTGACCTGTATGCCTGAAAGTTTACAAGAATGTTGGTCAGCATGTGTACTTATGCACCTTGGGGTTTTCTTGTGGATTTATTCAGTTTTTGTAGTATCTGCCCTTTACTTAATAAAAGGTTTTTAGTTTTCAACGTGGGCACATGAAGCAAAAAATAAAAAAAATGACCTAGATACATAAGATTGACAAATCGGTGGAGTGAAGGGGCACCCGTGTTCTATGGACACATTTCTAGTTTTATCTGTTATTACTTTTTTAATATAATTATCTAAATTATGCGATTCAGCACCTTGGTTTTGTTTACTCATTTTAGATTTAGAATACTCGAAAAATTCTTTAGACATCAGTTATGGGTATTTGAAATATGATAGTTCCGTCGGATATGTTTTAAACTTTTCAAAAGAAGACACAAGAAACTATATTCTCTGCAATGGTAAGATTTTATTTATATTCTATGTATTTTGTTCGTTTAAATCTAATACCTACGGTGGTATAAAAGTGACATTTGCAATTTGTTTCATACGAAAAAAAAATTAAAAATACGTATGAAAGACAGAAAAGTATATATATTTATATAAAATGCTAATGTCACTTTTATGTTACTTTAAATATCTCATTACTAAATGTGCACAGGGCAAATTTTAATTGTAATGAGATCTTTCATCATGAAAAAAAAAAACAAAAAAAAAACAAACTAAATGTGAACTTGCAAATAATTTAGCGAAAACTTTTATGCCGGAAAGTACAGTTAACAATACTGCAAATAAAGTTCTCGATTTTTCATTGATTGAAATGTACTTTTTTATTGTCATTTAATACAGGATCTACGATATATCCTTTCAAGAATCTCGTTTGTCTTCTTACTTAAATAGCGGACATCCGTTGCTTCAATTTGTAACTCATCGTATATTTTGTGATAATTGCAATTTTGATGATTGTTGCTCACTTATAACAAATATTTTTTTGATATGTGTTATAACCTTAAAACTGTTACTTACTGTACATGTATAAATAAGAGGATTGCACGATTTTGTGGACTTTGATAGGCTAAAACATCTCTATTCATTACCTTTATAACGATATAAACACAAGCCATCACAGTTGATGGCATCAGCGCCGAAGCGCGACGCCCTTATGGAATTAACTCAGATTTTGCGAAAGGGCAATTGCAACTTCTCGAGCTTTTTCGTCGGCCATAATAACCGAACATTCCGATTGGTATGAGTGTTTGATTATCATAAATGAAATGTCGCGATATGTAAAATGAAAAGCGAACTGGATAATTTCGCAATGTAAGCATTTTCAAATGAAATTGTCTTATCCGTCAATTAATCGCGCTCTTCGGTATTTTTATTAATCAGTTTGTAGTACAAAGTAGGTTTTTATGTGTGTTAATATTGCTTTACCTATAAATAGAATGATGACCTGAAAGTCCGAAAATACATTTATAGAAGTAGTTTAAGTTTATCGAAACATTCATTCGTGTCGCAACGAATTGGAGAATTTTACAGGAAATGAAATCCAAACATATCAAAATAATTAATTGAAATCTTTAAGTAGGCATTTTTTACGAATTGTTTTATCATAGTATTATAATTCTTCTTCTGCAATTTTAACATGAGTTGTTATGGATTTTTACTTTATTGATAGGCATGTAAACACACTGATGGGTCAGACTAGGATATTCAAATAATAGAATGACCTCGCAAATCAATCACTTAACAGACATTGTTCATTTTGACTATAATGTTGCATGTTCCATGAACTTGAAATTCTATCAAATAACCAATATTAATGATTATATCCAAAAACACCCCTATATAGTATAAATAAACATATACTCTAAAGGGGGGTATATTTTGAATATTATAGACCTGTATATTTGGATAGAATTAAAGTTCCTGTGGGAAAAACATTTAATATACAAATCTCTACTATGCATACCAAAGTTCATGATGAACAATTACTTTCGTCAGCCTATTCATAAATGATATACAATACTGGTTAAAACCAATTAACAATTGAAAAGTTTATAAGAATATCTGGTCATCAGATGTCTACTAGTTCATCTTCACTTGCTGCATTTCTTGCTTTGACGCCATTTGATGCTTTGCATTAATGCTTTTCTTGTATACTACTAGTATAATCGCAATTCTAGTAGATTAAGTCGATGACGACTGCTGTCTGGAAACGGGTTGAGAATATTGTAGAAAAATGGTTCGCGAAAAACTCCGTTATTCGGTAAAGCAGATTTTTACTGATTTTGTGGAAGTTTATGTGTCTAATAAGTTTTAAGACAGTTCGTAGGTGGAGAAAAATAATCTGACTGGCACACATGACCATGAGTACTAAGAATATCCTTTATTGTATATTCTTCTCCTGTGATAGTATAAAACGAAAGGCAAAAGTATTACAGACCTGTATTACCGAGATGTAATGCTACAAAAGCTCAAGAAATATTGTCAGAAACTACTCGTTGTGAGTATTTAGGCATGTTCGTTTACTTCATAATAACGACCCATTAAATGATTCTAATATTTTGAAGTAATTTTTCGGGGAAGGTTACCGTCGTGCCACACCAACCATACTCTCCGGATCTTAACCAAATAGAATTAAAACTCTCCAGACAGACCCTCGGTTAAGTCATTAATCAGTGCCCCAGAGGTCTACTTATAAAAGCGTACAGTGACACATTTCATGATTAAAATTATGTTCAATATATTTTAAACTGCTGAGAATCTTATTGAAAGGATGTTATTTCATTTTGAGTCGGATGCTTAAGAGATATCATAAGTACACATTACATAATTATCGGAAAAAACACCCTCGTAATACTTTAACAAACGTCACTTGAGTAATTCCTCTCAATAATAATCATTGGAAATATCATTTTTCATTATATCTATTGGTAAAATTAAAAAATAAAAATATGAATGATGTTATTCATTATGACTGTACACCTAACTGAGTTATAATGAATACAACCTCTAATAATTGACGTAAGCGGTGCTTCAATAAAACATTCCTTTGGTTCAGTGGTTTAGAGCGATAAGTTACTTTTAGTGTAAACTGTATTATACATGTAACTGTCTCTCACCTCTTGTTCCGCTTCGTGTCAAGTATGTTTAACATTTTTTCACAGTTAAACCTGTAAGAACAGAAACAACAAAATTGACAACTATCGCTAATGATGATAACCCTTCGCCTACAAAACACACTCATGTAACTTGTATGTGATTTATACATTCATCTGTTCCGAGTGTTGAAGAAAGTTAAATATAAATTTGATAATCATTAATAGTTTTATATATTAAAGAAACTTATTAATTTCAAGCAGATACCGGTATTAAAATATCTCACTTTCCACGATCGATATAACTTACGGAGCAAGAAATATTTTACAACAAATATAAAACAGTAAAACGATCGCAATTCTTTCTTTATACACAGCCGCATTGACTTCTTCATACACAGCCGCATCGGTTTTTGTATACACAAACCAAATGGTTTTGTATATACATCCCAAATGTTTTTTTGTCTAAACAATAAAAACAATATCTGTTCATATAACAGAAATGTTTTTTACTGATAAAAGTATTTTTTCTTCATATAACCACTTCTTTTTTTTTGTTCAGTGATTTGATTTAGAGCATTGTGTAAGATTGCATGTAATTTTCATTGTTACAGTCTATTGTAATGTTTTATGCCAAGTATGTTTAACATCTTTTCACAGATAGGTATGAAGGAAAAGAAACAACACAATTGACAACTATCGCTAGTGATGATCATTCTCCGCCTACAAAACATACTCAAGTAACCAGTATGTGATTTATACATTAACCTGTTTTAATATTTCAGAAAATTATAATAATTGATATGTTTTGAAGATTAAATGACCTTACTAACAGAGCAAGAAAATATTATAACAGGTATTAAACAGTAAATCAATTGTTCTGTGATAAGCATTGTCACAAATTGTTAATATTTTGTTCAAGTATATAACTGTACTAATACTGATGTTCGGATATACACCATGTCTAAACTGATAGGTATTTACAATGATTACAGCAATGACAACAGAACGACTATCATCGACACATTTGACAAACAAACCAAACACATCTGTTTCGTTGGCTGATGAGGTTAGAAAGTCACATAATGACTCATCGACCAAAGGTAAAGGACAAAATCAAAATCGAATAAGTGCCTTTGTTTCCATTTGCAAAATGGTTCCTTTGAGAGTGTAAAAGCATACTCAGTGAAATGGATTGATGTTTTTACAAATTAGAGTTAAATGGTAGCAATACAAAACATCATTAACCAAAACATGATTTTTCACAAGACAAAAGTACATGTAGCATGCATTTCGAAAGGTTACTTTTCCGTACAACAACATGACAGTGTTATTTATAAGTTACTCATCAACAGTAGTAAGTCATACTAAAATGCTTGTGACTTTTCATATTCCATTATATTAAGGTTTTCCCTTTGATGTATTTCACATGAGCATGTATTTACTTGAATCAGTCGGAATAATTTCCCTAAGTAAAATAAATATACATCTCTTATGTTCATGTTGAATAGATAACTAGATAACTGGTTAATTATCCAAATAAGAAAAGAAAGAGGAGATGGATTTTGTAAATATTTAAGCTGATCAAGTAGAGCTTGAAAATAACAAAGAAGCCATTGCAAATATGTTAACACTTGCAAACACTTAAACTTTTATTCCATTACTGTATCTCTTTCTTAGCAGTATTATTTGGTTAAGAGGCATTAATTGCCTTTCTAGCATTGAAATTTAGCATCATTACTGATTTAAAATGTATCATTCATTTCACAATGAATAAAGACCGATAAATGTTTATTTTCAGATACTGACATACCTGTCATTGTAGGCGTATCAGTTTCAGCTACCCTGGCTGTCGTTATAATGGTGATCATTCTGATCCTAGTCCAACGGTATGTTTCCTCATTTGAAAGGAATTTAGATACTATAAGCCTCCTAAGATGTTTTCATAGTGCAAGGTAACTTACTTCTTGGTGAAGTTAACAAAAAATATCAATGTTTCTTTTCCAAAACAGGATTGAAGTAAATTTTTTTTTTCACAAGTATGTGTTGATATTTATGTATTTATGAAATATGCTTTATTTTATTTATTTTATTTATTTTAGCATTTATATAAAGTATTTCTAATTGGTTTTACATTTGTGATTTATTCTTCTTTTCTGCTGATATATTTTTATAGGAAGAAAATACTTTGTTGCACTGAAGGAAAGCAGTTAACTGAGGTGGCTGATCAAAAAACTTCAAAGACTAAAAATCCTATTTCACACGTAAACAATTCATACGAGCTTGTTGATGCTGAATATATAGATACAGCTATCAAAACAACATCTGATTTGTGTGATGACACTTACAACATGCCCGAACAAGAAGCAGATGAAGTAAACACGAACGAAACAACATACGACATCGCTGGTACCGACAGACAAACATTTAAGCAGGAACACGACAATATATATAATAAACTTCAATCTGAAAGCAGTCCCATCTACGATCACACCAATGATAAATCTAAAACTGGAATTCAAGCGTCTGATCATACATACAACACAACGAACGATATATCAGTGAATTCTGGATTTAAACTTGGCGGCAATCATGCAGTTGGTATGAATACGATTGAGGAAAGCCCTTACAATCACACTAACTCTGATCTGTTTGAACGAAAACAAGTGGACAATGTCTACAACACTGCTAGCTTTCAGTAAAATGTTGAAAGGAAAGGAACACGCACAATTCATTTTATAAGCTAATATAGAAGACATATGAAAGATAGTGTATTATTATTATAAGACACTACGCCGTACGTGAGAACGGAAAGTTATGTTGGCATATATTTTATCTTTTTGTAAAACAAATTACTTCTAAGGTTATGAAGCCGCTCTAACGCTACTAGTATATCGAGGAATGTTCGAGGAATGTTTGTAGAAAATATTCTTTATTCTGTGTGCCCTTTGTGTGCCATTGATTGTGACATATTCCGTAGCAGGTACTCTAATGAACGCTTGATGAATAACCATTTGTTTTTGTTTTCTCCGATCTTCTATGACCAGTATTGACATTCTCAAATAATTATTAAAGTTTTAGAAGGAAAACAAAAAGCAGAAACAAACGAATCAATTAAGATTGGCTGTACTGATTCAACAGGTGTCTTTACTATTTTTTGTATAAATTAATAGACTGTTCAATTGTGAGTATTGAGAAACACAAGTCTTCTTGATACTTTAAATAGCTAATCAGAGCACAACGTGCTTAAGTTGAGCTATTATCACCACTCATCGCCAATCATCCGGCACCTGTCCGTACGGACTCGAGTGACATTATGGGATGAATATTCGTGTTCATCTAGTACAGCCTTGTGGGGAAAAGTTTGCTGACTGATGGGGTGAAAATAAATTGCTTATGGGATTTCAGAGATCAAGGAAATTACCCCATAATGTCAACTCAAGGAGAACGTCCGTCCGTCAACACTTCTCTTTAATCAACATCTCCTCCTTAACCACCTGGTCAATAATACCAAAACTTTCTAGGATTCGTTGTATACTCTTTTTTTTGAAAAGAAATTGGCTATTACACATTAAACGTCTATTCCTGAAGAATTGTTTATTTGTTTAACATCTTATCTTAAATCAATACATGTAATGATATAGACTGCTTATTTTACACTCAGACGATGATTGATATTTTCAGTCTATTTCAACATTTCATACATTATATGATAACGATAACGAAAAACATACCCACAGATTTCAACAACATATGCTTTATAGATACTATAAAATCAAAATGTTATGCTTTAAGCTTATTTATTGAAGTGAATTGATTAAGAAATGGTGCTTTTAATTGTTAAGCGACTTGTTTAGTTTCCTCAGTAAAGCATTTGGAGTTTGAAATACGCAAATATGATATGTCTTTGAATGATTTCCGAATCACGCGCCATTCTAGCCCTTTCTAGTTCTTGTGGGTTTGAATTTAGCCGGACCATAAATATTACAGCCTTGTTTTAAGGCCGCACGCCAGATTCATGCTAATTTTCATAAAATGTTGAAAATGTATTTGAAAGTATCATTTTTTGTATCATTTTTTGAAGTTACCAAAGGAAGCAATTTACATTTTCTGACACTACAACCCACCTTAATTACCAAAGAAAGGTCAAAATATGCAAAAATAGCCATTACTACGTTAATAACGCAGTAGAAATATTGTTGTCAATCAGTCATTAATCGCAGATAACATATAAAATATGTATGAAGTTAGCAGTGAACAGTGAGTTAAGCAAAAATGCATTACGATTTATAAAGGGAAATCAATGATCTGTTGTAATACTCAGCAGACCAAACAATCTAACGAGCATTCCTTAATATAGAGTAAACTGTTCTTAGGTACTTAAAGACTAACAGGAATTATTGGTGCCAATAGAGTCCATATATTTGGTCTGCGACTTATTCTGTGACACTCGCACACTTTCAATAATTTTTGGTGCTATTGCAGATTATGACATTTCTGACTTTTAAGGGCTCACAGATTCCATTGCAATCCAGCAGAGCAATTTTACTCTAAAATTATCTGCATTGGCATCAAAAATTATGGAAAGTCTTTGAGTGCCTAAGAATCAGTTGCAAACCAACGAAATGGACTCTACATTGTCATTGGAAGTAATAATATCATCATCTCCACTGGCACCAAAAATTTCGGAAACTCTGCGAGTGTCCAAGTATAAGTCGCAGACTAACAATATGGACTCTGGAGGGTCCATAAAAGTAAAAAATGTCATTATCTGCATTGTCACCAGGGTCCCTAGAAGTCTGCGAGGATGTCAGTTGCAGCCACAGATGCAGACTAGTAAAATAGATCTCGGATGGTCTCTAGGCTACAAAAATAACATTGGTACTATTTGTCTGTCAATCCTTCATTGATTAAAACATACATGTATTATATTTTGCCTTAATCACACTCGCTTTTCTCCAATGGAAAAAGAGGTTTTATTCAAAACGAAGTCATGCACGGTTTTGTTTCCGTTTGCGACCATGCGATATGGTACGAGATTGGCTCAGAACCTATATGAAATTTAAACAAAAAGTCATATCGGTTTCAAATCTTCAGATATTTCAGTTCAATATATTTCAACCTACATGCAAAATTCGATAGATTTTATGACATTGGTTTACAAAAAACAGACACCTGAAACTATGCAGTAACGACGCATGACGTCTTATCTATGGAAACATGATTCCATGAAAGTCCTCTTTCACATTCATTTATCTCGTGCCCGACTAGGCACCAATCGTATCGGATCCGCTCGCATTCCAAGAATGTCTGTTGATATTTTGTGTGCAGAACTGTTTCTGATCCCTTATCAGTCTGTAAGTGTGACACATCTTCGCCTCGCCCTCCGATGCCGATAATTGAATTAGTGTTGCTTTACCCGCTAGAAAATCGCTTGCAAAACGCCTTTCCATCTTCTTTGATAAACTTATAAACGTCCGTGTCATATGCAAATCTTGCATATATATTTAAATCGTTCTTTCCTGTGTTATTTTATCATTTTGATTGTCGTATTTGATAAGATTTTAAGAGATGTGCATAACTTTTGTCCATTTTCGTTGTTTATGAACGACAAATTACGTATTTTATTACTTTTTCTTTGTAACTGGTTTAGATAATTGAGCGTGTTGTAACAACACATTAATGTATGATTTCAAAACTTTTAATGAGATACATTAAACACTGTTCGTAAAATTTTTGCTGAGGTTAGATTATTCGATGGTAATTACAAATATTTTACAAAAGCGACAAAAATGCATTATATTTGACTTATGGAACTTTCTGCGAACATTATGGACAGCCCTTGTGCAAGTAATTACATGTAAAATAGTTACCAATTATTATTATGAGTATTATTATCTACTTTCCTATCAAGGATGACAAACAATATGTAACTCTTGACTTGTTGATTCAAGTACTTTTACTTTTTACTTCCTTGTCGCAAGAAATAACGGTATATTTATATGAAAAATCATCTTTAGTATTATCATCGTGCAATGACGGGACATCACGAAAATTAAGCAATAAGTGTAATTGAAGATATATATTTATTTTATGCTTTTCAGTGGATTACTGATTTATCCGTTAAAATTATATTTGATAATTTCACAGTGAAAAATATCAAAATATAATTTCACTTTTTTCAATGACGAAACTACTTTTTTAAGATTTTCCCCATGTGGTACCTCAATTTTATTTTTACGGAAATTCTGACAATGTCAGGCTGTTAAAAGAAATAGCAAAGCTGAAATAGATAAATAACTTAAATGTCAAAAGTAACACAGAGAGAAAACTTACTTCTATTCCTTAAATTCCAATTTCGTCTCTAAATTTTTTTTGTTTCGTTTTTACAGTCTGAAAAATACATCCCTTCCCCATGCAAAACTGCTCTTGATGACATTTGGGCATATTAAAGTATCCTACGAGCAATAACTGCCGTATGCTTTATGAAAAATTGAAAAGCATTGACAGCCATCACTCGTAAAATAAATAAAACAACCCAGCGTTCCTTCAGCAGCTTCCAAGTTTTCCATTTTCCTAGCTCCTTTTCTGAATGTTTTCACTTCTGTCAACCCTTATTTTTTGTCTGTTACAATCCTCAAATAAGTTTTCTTTCTTTTAAAAAGGTGTATGACTAACAAATCCAAATTATATCTTTCTGAATCTTACACAATTATTTTCCTCCCATGAAATACACAACTTTAAAAAATGGCTGCCGTTTACATTTTAGAAAGCCAGGTCTAATATAAATTCGCAGTAAGTAACAGAAATATGGATGGATGGTTGGAATTTTCTCCTGCAAGAATTGTTTGTTTTTATTATTAAAACAACCGATCATTCATATTTTTTTAATAAAATGAATAAATATCACCGTCATTTAACCTTGATTGGAGGACTTATTTTTCAGCTCAAGACTTCTTGTTTTAAATGAGAAATTCCGTCTAAATGGGGCTCTCAATGGGGGAAACAGATTTTAATATTAACGTTAAAATTATGGAAATTTCGTTTTAACTTGTTTTTAAGCATAAAATAAAAAGAAAATTTGTCTGTTTGTTGTGTAAGATGTAATTTTATTTCATCTCGTGAACTTTAAAAACAGTATTCTCACTCGTGGCTACGCCACTCGTGAGAATACTGTTTTTAAAGCTCACTCGATGAAATAAAATTTCATCTTACACACAAACAAACAAATATCCTCTATATATAGACCTAAGTGAAGTGCACAGCTACTTACCATTAAATTGTCTTATATATGCACCAAGGTTTAATTATAATATTTTCGGAAAAGACACTTGTATATGGAAGGAAAAAAAAGATTCAATGTGGATAATGAAACTGGATATATTCAATTTTTGTCTTTTAGTGATCATATTTCAAGGTAAGTTCCTGTATGTTTGTTGAATGTTGCATTGTCACATAAATGAAATACAATTGATACATAAATTAAATACATTTCACAATGGATACTTTAAATCAGTACATAACAATTGACAACTAAATTAATGTTTTCATGAATTGTGTAAAATGATAATGTCTGATGTTCACCGAGTTCTTTTGAGTGGAACCTATATACACCGGATGGCTTTCGGACCAAGCTTTTGTCCTGTTGAAATGAGTTTATTGACTGCACACATTTTAAACTTAGTCAGTCTAAAACCAATATTAAACTCTTCCCGAAGCATACTTAAGACATGCGTGATGTAAAGTTTATAAAGAAAATTGTTAGAACTTCAATTGAACACGTACATTTATCGGACTGTTTTCTTGGCTTAATATTTTTATGATTAAAAGTCCCCAAAACCGATCACATTTTTACAAGCTTATAAATATAATTTGATTAAATGACGCTTTTCAATTTTCGGATATTTTATGAACAATTATCACAGGGCCACCACCAACAAAAAAAATCAACACAAACAAAAAACACTCATATATCGATTTTTACTGGAAATTTATTCTTATAATGTTTTATGCAAAAAAATCATTGGGTAATTTTTACTATTTTAGATACATGGTGTTATCACATTTCAAATTCAACATTTACGTGGACCAAGAAAAGAGATGAATGCAAGATTGCGTCACCTACCATACAGTATGGTAATCAAAACCTCATCGTTGATATGCATGGAAACATTATAAAGCAAGAGGTCTGGGTCGGTTACTATCAACAAACTGCTTTATTTGAGTATATTTGTAAATTTTTATATATCATTAAGATGTTTTCTTTACCTAGAATGTGTAACAATCTGAAACCAATTAACATATAGTTTTTATCAAAGTGGTCTGTTAACCTTGACACAAAGCTATTTTATAATACATTCTAACCTCTGTAGTTTTGAAATAAATATATTTGATAGGAAAACGGATAAGGGGCCGATTGAGAATCGATCTCTCGCATCCGAAAATCTAGTACCACTCGAAAACAACTCATCGTATCATATATATGATAAACATATCGGCAAAATTAACATGTGCTCAATTTGTCATAACAATAGGTGCTGTATGAAGTATTTCTTGAAAACAAATACAACCACTCACAAATGATATATACGTGCAAGAGCATTTTAATTAAATAACATTTAATGCTTATACTGTTGTTTCATTCAGGATGCATGAGTTCAGAGGACTTAAACATAATCAAAATACAGCTTGGTACAAAGAATATCGGATGGTGCTATTCTGCTTGTTCCCACACGCCGTTTATTGGGATACAGAAACAAACGGTATAATATAATCGTGCAATGAATAAAGTTTAAAAAAGATACATATAAACGATATGACAGATCTAGTGACTTCTACATAAGTATATATGAAAGTTATTTTGATTGTAGTGTCTTATAGATTTACATGAGTATGATCTATTCTCTTTCTGACATCGTAAACTATTCGGTTATTTTAATGTTATCTCACAACGGTAAATACAAGATTTTTCTTTATTTTTTAAATACCATTAATGCTTTTTAAAATGCTATTCTTATGCAAATTTAAAGTGATTTCAATATGGTTAAAAATACAGACAAGTGAAACAATAAAAGTAATGTAAGCATCCGACACTAACACTGTTTTTGAATTATAGAACAAATATACAAAAATAAACATTTCAACTTTACGGGGTTAAAAATGTAATATGAGATATAATTTGAAAAGAGTAAGACGGATTATACGGATTTCGAATTATACAAAAAGAAACTTTCACCAATTTTAAATGTAGATATGTTTAGTACAGTTTTCAATCCTTTTGAAACTCGATTTTTACGTTGAATAAACATATCGGGCTTTTATACGGGGATTAGCTGACCGATTTTGCAAACAAAACAAGTTTTACAAGCTACTACATGTATATAAGTGTGTACATCTAAGTGGTACCCTTGAACAACTGGCACATACTTTGCGAAAGTTTCTTTTTTGGTCCAGTATATATAGATAAATAAAACTAGAAGGAGGCGTTCAACTTTAACTCTGTTTATGTCTTTTCGGCAGACTCTGTACATTTTCCTGAAAACCAGGAGAGCAAAAACAACTGTCTAAAAATGTATTTAGACAAAAATAATGGAAGCAAATCGTATGAATGGAAATCTTGTTCCGAACAAATGTGGGCATTTTGCAAATCTGGTGAGTTTTTAGTAAAAAGTATGCTTTTCTTGAAAGTCGTTTGATGTATAAAAAAGCCAAGGACAGCAACAAATTTCATTAAAAAAAGCTGCCGGTTTCTTTTTGCCGCGCCAGTTTTTGGCAAATTCAACCCCTATTTTTACGCGCTTTAAAAAAATGAAAACTATCTTAAATTGTCATATTTACTAAAAGGTTTAAAAGTTAATATGTTTTGTTTTTCTATCTTTAATACTTTTTTGTAAAAATGCATTGAAAGTTTGCATTTGCCATGGCAAAGTGTGTTTTGACATGGCATTTCGGCAAATTAGAATTGCCATGGCAAGATTTTTTTAAACACCACAAAACATTCTAAAACTTCTCCTATGACATGTTATTGGTCCTATTGTTATGTTTTTATTGCAATCTCTAATTTTTTTCATGTTGCCATGGCAAATTTTTGCCATAGAAATACCATGGCACTTGCATAAAAGTTTGCCATGGCAAAATATTATCAATAAAAAAACATTTTTTCTTTGATTTTCTTTTATAAATTTATATATGGCAAATGACATATTAAAGAATATAATACTTAATATTTTAAAGTTTACGCAAAGAATATCTTTTCAACCACGGGTCCTATTAATTAGAATAGATTGTATATGACATTTTAAAATGACAATAATTATGAGATCAAGGATCAAATATAATCATTTATGCTAAATAATAATAATAAAGCTTGAGTGGTAGTTATATAAAAGAGAAAAATAAGAATCCCTAGAGAAAGCCCAACACTGCAAATTTGAAAATTTGAGCCTGTTCATGGACGGTACTGGTAGTCCAGTGGAAGGACGCGCTTAGAGATCGAGAGGTCCTGAGTTCGAACCCCACCAGGGGCACTGCTAATTTCCTTGAGCAAGAAATTTACCTGCGATTGCTTCACTTCACCCAGGTGTAAATGGGTACCTGCGAGGGTGGTATAATTCCGTTGCGCCAAAGTGTCGGCTGCACTAAGCGGAGTTAAAAGACTCCCTAGGGAGATTGATAGATAGATATCAGTAGCCCGATGACCAGGGGTAATACTAGTAGCTGTAAAGTCGGTGAACGTGCGTAAGCATGAAACTTAGACTATAAAATGCAATTACTTTACTTTTACTGGTAAGTGCAAATTACCGTCAACGTCCCCTAGCACCGGCTTAAGCAGTATATAACATTTTAACATAAACTGGTAAAATTTAGAATTTTGAAACATCCGCATATGTGTTCATATGGTGGTTATCATGGAACCTTTAATGTGACACGTTAGTACCATTCCATGAAAAGCGGCATATTACAATATACTTATAATAACATAAATAACAGACTTTACTTGTTACCTCTTTACTTTACTATATATAACTTTTAAATACCATAATTTTGTATAAATATGTGCAATTACATTTTTAGTTTCCGGTTTCTTTTAGTATTATGCAGTCTGCGTGATGAAGGACTGCTAAGGAAAGACAAGGAAATGATGGGAGATGCATTGGTACAAATGTTATGGAGGGCACCCTTATAACCTTGTTATTTGTAAAATATTCCGTTAACGCAACAAGATCATCTCGAGCAAACAGGACGTTTCGCCCCTAACCAAATCGGCCCTTAACAACTGCTAGTCCCAAAAATGCGTAAATTCTTGGTATAATGAGTAATGGGTGTATTAATTTGCTATCCAAAGGAAAATATAGTCAATCTTTGTAAAATATTTTAGTATCATTTATAAAGTGGTCTGTGGAATGTTTTAATTTTCAATTTTATTCTGATGGTACTATATTTACCAGGATTGGCAGGAGTGTAAGAATTAAGTGGCCCATCATCAAATCATACGGAATCAATCCTGCGCGAAATTATCATTCTTTTAGGATAGTAACCTCAATTTAAGAAGGAAATGTTCTAGTTGAAGCGAAAATGGAAAAGTTACCGCCCCTTAAAGAGTACTCATCATTTGCATTAAATCAAAACACATATTTCCCGTCGATAATTTGTATAAACTTTTACTGTAAAATATGATAAACAAGACCAACAAGGAAAGGAAGTATGTTTGCGGTGGTTCCCCCGTCATGTAATTTCGTTAATTCGTTATGCATATTGAAAATGTAAGCAACGATTGATTAGGGCCGGGAAATATATTTGAATATTCGAAACACTACAGAATATTCGAACATTTAAAAACGAATAAGAACATTCGAAAAACAGAAGAAATGTTGTATTTTTTGTACTTTCAAATTTCAATCAAGATCGTAAATTAAACCCTTGACCTTTACTTGTCCCGGTGTTCATATGTTTGTATAACGCGTGACATAGACTGTCGCCAATTAACTGTGAAAAGTTGTGAGTATAGTTTATCAAAAGGGCACCCGTTTCACAGTTTGTAATTAACCTGTTAAAAGTATATAATGTAAAATTTTCCGATTTTAATTATCGTATTTTATTGTTTTCTGTGCTATAATATCTAGGGGGCGTGAGGGATGTTGCACTTATTTATTATCCCTCATGTATAGACTCAATCAAACCGAGTCTGCAATTTTCATGTAATTTTGTTGTGATTAATGCTTCCGGTGGATCACTTTGTTTCCAGATTTTTTTCGATCAATCAATAATTGTCTTCAATTGTGTAAAGAAAAATGAATTTGCACGTATTAATCGGCGCGTTATGAAGGCACGGAAAGTGTCATCCCTAAAGACCAAACACGTCAAACTTGAAAATATTGCAGGCTCGGTTTGATTGACCCTGTTTATGGACGGTAATGTCAAGTGCAAACTACCGTCTACGCCCCCTTGCACCGTCTTTAGCAGAATTCAAAATTTTAACATGGAATGGTGAAACTTTGAATTTAGAAACATCCGCAGATGTATTCAAACGGCGGGTATCATGGAACCTTCAATGTGACACAGAAGTGCCATTCCATGAAAGGCGGCGTATTGTCCCCTAGTAATAATCAAAGGGCTGCAAGCTCTGTGATATTTTCTGATCTTTGCAATTTCAATCGTACTGTATATCTGTATGTATTTTCCTGTATATCCTGACATCGCTAAAAATAGCATTTTAATTGATTAAAATCATATTCATCCGCGTGCATGTATTGACAATTCTATAAGCCAACGCTACTTTTAAACTTTGAATGCGTTGTAATTTGTTTGATACTTGTAACAAAAAAATATTTCTTCCTTTTACATCGCAAGTTTTAAGCTGTTTTGAGAACTACATTGTATATATATATAAAACATGAGGACACAGAATCTAGTATAGCAATGTTTGTTTATCTCATCATATTTATTTACTGTCTTTTAGAAATAGTTCGGGCGTTTGGTTTACCAAGTACCAAAAAATGCCCCATCGTATATATTGATAAAAATAAAATTAAAGGTTTATAGTACACGGAGCGTAAAATTGGTAGGTATTGGTAGTTGGATATTCGATTTAATGGATATATAGCAAGATAGATGTGCTCTTCAATATTGATTCATGTTCGTCATGCGAAAAACTGCTGACCAGTTAAACTACTGAAAATTGCTGACCTCTTATTTTAGATAATTATATAGATAAAATTATGACTGGATGTAAATTTCTAGTACCATCGCACTATCGTATTGTCACCATTGCATTATCGCACTGTCGGCATCGAATTATCGGCATCACACTATCGCATTATTGCACTGTCGGCATCGCATTGTCGCCATCGCACTGTTGTATTGTCGACCTTGTTCTATCGCACTGTCTTATTGTTGCCCTCTGGATTATTAAGTATAACTACGATGGCCCTCACGGTATTCCATAGTAATATGCATATGTCACAGTCTGTACGTTGTTACCACTTCATCAACGTGTTCTTCGGAAACACACAAGCATCTGTCGCTGTACGTAGTACAAAGTCGATAGCATCATGCCTATGATTGCCGTCCGCACCGAAGGGCGGCGCCCCTTTATGGAATGAAATCAGATTTTGTGAAAGGGCGACAGCAACTTCTCGAGCCTTTTAGTCGGTCATAATAAAAGCCGATCATTCCGATCGGTATGAGGGTGCTTGATTATTATTAATTAAAAATGAAATGTTGTGATATGTACAATGAATAGCGAACTGGAGGATTTCGCAATGCAAACATTTTCAAATGCGTCTCTTCGGTTTTTTATTTATTTTATTGTAGTACACAGTGGGTTATCATGGTATGTTAAAATAGAATGATGAGTTGATGACCTAAATATTCCGAAAATCTATTTATAGAGGGATGTACTTCTATCGGTAATTCCGGTCTCTCCCGGTCTATTTTGACCAGGATACTAGTGACCGGCGAATAATATCACACGTTTATTATCCGGTCTCTCCCGGTTTTGGAGTAGATGTTTGATATCGTTACAGAACAGAACAAATATTTTACAGATAAATAAGCTTTTTTCCAAAATGAATGTTTGTCACTTAGTTTAATTACAATAATTAATAAACATAGATCAACTCTCAAATGTATTGATTATTATTATACATAAACATACATTTCGAAAAAAAACCCAACAACAACAACAATAGCATGTTTCATTTTATCTATATGAGATAAAAAACAATAAATATGTACAACAATTGTGAAAAAAGGTACATTTTTATGGTTTTAATATGACACTATCAACTTTGAAACATTTTATTTAATTTGTCATTCGTGTTTAGTAAAGATGCCGAGGAATTATTCAAAGTTACAAATTAGATTTTATTAATTATTTATTTGATTGATAATTTAAAAAATGATAAAGAAAAATAAAAATGTACATGGTTTAAGAATAAACAATATTATAATTATATTGAAAGATTAACCATAATTTACTGACTTTTTCCAGTTAAGTTTTGACTTATAATCGTCGGTCAATATGACAATTGAAAGAGTAGTAAACGTAAAAAACTCAGTATTAAAATAGCACATAAAAACACATAAAAAGAGAAGAAAACAATATTCATAAAAATTAAAATAGATATTACAGTTATTGTATAATAAACAAT